CCTTTTTTTTTGCAAGGGAAAGGCGCCAAGGGCCAAGGCGCCAAGGGGAAAGGCCCCAGGGAAAGGCCCCAGGGAAAAGCCGCCAGGGAAAGCCGCCAAGGGCCAAGGCGGCCCCTCTTGAGCCGGAGCTTGAGCCAAAAGGCATAGTTTCCCACACCGTCTGGTTTCCCTCCTGGTACCTCGGTACACGCAGTCGGACGCCGTCATCCGCGTCTCCGCAGTCCAGCTGTTGAACTCAGACGGAAGATCGTACACAACCCGGGAGGGGCGCAGCCGCCCCCGGCCCTCGCCCGCGCCTCCAGCGGCGCTGCTGCCGCCGTCGACCTCCCGCGGCGCGGCGAGAGCGGGCAGGGCGATCGAGCAGTCGGCGCCACCGAAGCCAGCGGCGCAGCGGCACCAGCCGCGCACGCACACGCCTTGCGGCGCGTTGCACTGGTTCAGACAGACGGAGCGGACGGGCTGTTCGCAGGCGGCGCCGGTGGCGTCCTCGTAGCAGCCGCAGCTGAAGAGGGGCGCCACGCCGCGAGCGAGCGCCGCCTCGTCGATGTCGCAGTACGCGCGGGTCGCGGAATGGGGCGGCGCGGTCGCCCACATCCGGTGCAGCTCAGCGGGGCCGAGGGCGGCCGCCAGGTCTGGTGGCGTCGAGTTGGGGCTGCCCCACAGCCTCCACGGCTCGGTGATGCGGTAGTGCGCCCACCCCGGGTCCTTCCACTCCAGCGCCTAGGGACGAGGGAGTCGTGCACACGTCACGGTGGCGCGGCGTGGCGTGCGTCGCGAGCCAGCTCGACGCTAGCGCCTTCTCGATGCCCCGCCACTCGCACAAGTTCATCTGACGGCGCGGGTAGCGCGCGCGCGACCCGCAGAGGCAGCGGTTGGACTCGAGGTCGCAGCTGGCGGCGCAGCGCGAGAGCATGTGCGAGTACTCGGTCCCGCGAGAGCATGCGCACCCGGGACCGCACCCGGACGGGTGCGTGCACCTTCCCGGCTTGACGCCAGCGGTCCGTGGGTCGTTGCACGTCTGCGGGTCCGCCTCGGCGCAGGTCGGACCTCTCCAGCCGGTCCGGCAGAGGCAGCCGCCAGTGTACACGTCGAACGCACCGTGGCCGTCCTCGCAGCGAAGAGCGGAGCCGCCAGCGGCGACGGCGGTACCGCCGCCGCCACCGCTGTCACCACCGGTAGGCAGGCCAAACGATGCGGGCGTGTCAAGCACAGGCAAAGGCCCGAACAAGTCGGACCTGCGGCGAAGGCGCCGCGCCGGGCGGCGAAGCAGCGGACGCAGCGCGGGCGCAAAGGACGCCGCCTCCGCCTCGCTGAGCGGACTCGACGGCCGCCAGAGAGCTTTCAGTGCCGAGGCTCTGGGAGGTGGCGGCGAGCGCCTTGGCGGCGGCGGTGGCGGCGATCCGACTGCAAGAGGCGAGCTGGTATAGGTGCGCCACAAGTCTGAACGCGGCTCTTCTCGACTGTGAGGCGTGGTGGCTGACGCTGCAGGGCGCCGCGATCCGATCGGAACAGGCCGCTTGCCGACTGTCACTGGAGCTTGGCGCTCGACGGTGGTGGCGATGGGCTGCCCACCCCTCGACCGACTCGCGGCGGAGATGAGCAGCCCCAACCCGAAGCCAACTGCCAAGTAGACGAGCGGAGGGCCTCTCCAGCGCGTGGTTCGCTCCATCGGGCGTGGCTGTGGTGGCACAGAAAAAAAATGGGCTGTGGCGCGTGGCGTGTGCGTGTGTGCGACTGCGACGAAGGACCGCTCGCAAGGGACCATTGGGTTTGTACTATTAACAACGAAGGCGCTCTCAAAAAAGCGAAGTTTTTCGTTCTTTAGCAGCGTCTTTCTTTTTTCCAAGCAAGCGGGAATATCGAGGAGGCATCACGTGCCGTCGGCTCCCGGCTGGTGGGCTTCAGCTGTGAGGCTGAGCATGGCGGCTAGCATGGCGGCGAGCTCTGGCGGGTAGTTGCCGGTCTCTCCCCCGCTTCTGCTCGATGGGTCGAGCTCCAGCGCGCCGCCGTCCTCGAGCGACAGGTCCTCCCCGCGTGCAGGGAGAGGGAAGCTGGCGGAGAGGCCGGTGCGGGACTGGAGCAGCCAGCCCCAGCTGGCGGTGCGAGTGGCGACGTGTGGCGGGTACGAGCGACCGCCGCGCCGCGTGCGCAGCACAGAATGGCCGTGGTACTCCGCCTTGACGTCGCTGTCCACGTCGCAATCGGCGACCGCCAGGCTCCACTCTCCCTGGCCGCGCTCTGACGAGGCGTAGACGCCTTGTCCCTGCCCGGCCGCCGCAGTGTATCTCCGCGTGCCTGGCTCGTGGCCTTGCCACCAGGGGCACTGCCACGCCAGCCCCGAGGACTGCTTGACCCTGGCCGACCACGTGAACCTCTCGAGCTCAGCCACGGTGATCTCCACTCGCAACGCGTCCGCAAGCGAGGAGAAATACGCCTCGATTCGCCGCACGGCTCCATCACGCCACCGTTCGGTGTGCAGCTTGTCGCGCCAGAGCGCCTCGCAACGCGGCGTCCACTGTGCGTCGGCCGTCGCCGCTGCCGCCCACCACGAGCACGTTGGAACGCTCCTCAGCAGGTCGTGAGGCGGGAGTCCGGCCAGCACGAGCGAGAGGACGTCTGCGTCGATCCGTTCAAGCCCCTGCTCTGCACCAAGCACACTCATTGCGCCGGCTAACTGCTGCTTCTACACCAGTTTCGCGGCCGAGATTCGCGGCCGAGAGACGTTCTCGCGAAGCGAACAAAAAAGAAAAAAATCTGAGCGGGAAAAACAAGGGCGCACTGCGTCGAAAATTAGTAGGGAAGTGTTTGTCTACTGCATCTTTAGTGCACTTTAGCGCGAATTTAGCGCGAATGCACAACTTTAGAGAGAGAGATTTTTAGCAATACGAAACAACTCTAAGACTCACTCAACTTTAGCGCAAATTTAGCGCGAATTCAGCGCAAATTTAGCGCGAGTTCACTGCGACTTTACATCCAGATTTAGCGAGGTTTAGTGCGTCTTTAGTCCAGCCGCGCAGTACCAGTAGGATCCAGCCGCAGCCCCTCGCTGGGCCTCCCTCCCCCTCTCCCCCTGCAGTTCCCTGCCCACTCGCAAAAGTTCCCCGTCCCATCCCCAACCGAACGAAGGTTTTTCAGCTGAATATCAGCCTCCGGTGCTTTCCGGGCTGCTTCTCCGGGCCCGCCGAGCGGCAAAACGTTTGCCGGAAGCGGGGCGTGAACATAACGACTTTACTGCGTGACTTACAATCTACATGGATCATTGCCATTTGGCCGTTTCTTTCTGTCATCGTGGTCTGGATCCTTCATCCTTTGCCGGAAGTGGAAAAGCATCGAGCTATTGGAGCATTTTCTTCCTCGGTGTATTTGCCATTGCACTTAGGAGGAGGTGCATGGCTGGGGCTGGATCCAACATGCTACGAGTACACGCGTATGCTGCTTGCGCCTTGCGGTGACTACATGGATCATGGCCATTTGGCCGTTTCCTCTGTCATCGTGGTCTGGATCCTTCAAGCTTCATCCTTTGGTTCAACATTGGTTTTGAAATTCCAAGACCGACCCTCACCTCTACTCTATTACAGCTGGTGGTCACGGGCACAGCATGGGTTGTGCGGTCGGAGGTGGTGCTTGCGGTGGCGCATTCAACTGTGCTGGTCCTCCTCTCGGGAATCGGTGCCGTGTGCCTGTGCTCAGTCGGGAGATCTTGCTCTGGAGGGCTGCATATCTAGCCTCACTGGGAGCCTGCCTTTGCGTCATGAGGGCGCAGGGGCCAGGCATCTCCTGTGGTGCATTCTTGGCAGCCAAGGAGCAAAGCACGCGGCCCTGGCTAGCTGTGGTGTGGCCGGGAAGCCGTGCTAAAGATGCGTGCCCGCACTAAAGATGCGGGACCCACACTAAATGTACTGCAGCTGCCCGCACCTAAAGTGAACTAAATGTGGCGCTAAATTGGTTTAAAACACACTAAATATCTCTCTCTAAATATGTGCTAAATATGTAATATGTGCTAAATATGAGTTGTTTGTTAAATATGTGCTAAATATGTGCTAAATTCTAAATATGTGCTAAATTCGCGCTGAAGACGCACTGCACACGCACTCGAACACACACTAGATAGCGCACTAAACTATCACTAAAGTTCATTCACACGCACTAAATTTAGACCCAACCAAGCGCCCTTCGTTCGTAACACGTAAGAGCTACATAGGAAGCCGCCGGATGTAAGTGGGGCGGCTTGGCTGCTGCGGGGTCCCCCGCTTTCGCCCGGGGTCGTGCGAGGGGTGGGCACGACCAGTAGGGACCCCCTCCCCCGGGCCCCGCTCTCAGTTGGGCCTCCGCGGCCGAGTGTGAGATATTGGATGGGAAACGGGTCGATTTGCAAAGTGGGGCGCCGGGCCAGGCCGGGCCCGGCTCGGGCCCCTGCCGGGCCCGGCTCGGGCCCGTGCCGGGCCCGGCCCGCGCGCCCTGCCGGGCCCGGCTTGCCCCTCCCGGGCCCGGCCCGCGCGCCCTGCCGGGCCCGGCTTGCCCCTCCCGGGCCGAAGCGCCCAAATCAGGTTCTTCCAACACCAACGGGCTGCCGGCATTCTCCCTGCCTCAAGCCGTCGCGTGTCATTTTGTGGAGGAGCCGATGGCGTCACACGGCTGGCGGGTGCCTTCGAGGCGCTCGAGGCGGATGGCGGCGAGCTTGGCTTCGACACCGAGTGGCGGCGGCACTGCCAGCCGCCGGCTCGGGCCCTTCGCTGCTGCAGCTCGCGACGCGATCGGAGGTGTTTGTCGTCGATCTCCTCGCCATCGGCGCCGACCACGCCGCGGCGGCACGATTTCGGCGGGCGCTCGACCGAGCCTTGTGCGCCGAGGGCGTGCAGGTCCTCGGCTTTGCGTGCAAGGGGGACTTGGCGCAGCTGGAGCGCTCGGGCTGGCTTGCCGGTAGGAGCAGGGGCGAGATCGCGCCGCGCGACTTGCAGAGCGAGGCGTCCGCGGCGGGCTACGGCGTCTCGCGCCGCCAGCCGGGGCTAAAGTCTCTGGTCGCGCAGCTCCTCGGCTCTGCGCTCGACAAGTCTCTCACGCTCTCCGACTGGGCGGCCCGCCCGCTCTCGGACGCGCAGATCGAGTATGCCGCCGCTGACGCGTGGGTGCTACTGCCGCTCGCCGACGCCCTCGCAACACTCGCGCCGCCGCCGCCGCCACCGCCGCCGCGCCTCCGCCGCCGTCCCTCCGGCCCGGATGAACGCGTGCGCGTCGCCTCGCAGCGACCGAGCGTCTGGCGGCGAGTCCCACCGCCCCGCGCGTCGGGCTGTGCCTGGAGAGGTGGAGCCGTGTCGCCGTGTGGGATACGGGAGGCGGGCTTAGCGCTCTCCTCTCCCTCCGCTGTCCTTCGGGGCTTTTGGGCTGAGAGTTGTAGGTTGTACCACCCCCCACCCTTCATGAATGTCGTCGCGCCCTCTTGAGTGTTGAGAGTATGATCTAGTTTCAAGCTAGTGACGCGCCGGTGCGCGGTGGACGGCCGGGTCCCAGGCGCCAGGGCCTGCCGGAGCGCGCGGTGGGCGTGTGCGGGGAGCCGGGGGGGCGACGGGAGCGCTCAACGCGCGCGCCCCACAAGGTCAAGGTGAGAGCTGAGACAACGGCGAAGGGCACAAGCACAAGCCACAACGGTCAGAACGCGGCAACACCGGCATATACCATATATATGCGATATGGGGGACGGCACACGCCGCCGGCCCCCGCGCTGCGGGGTACAATCTTGACTTTTTGACAGCAATTATGGCGGGAACGGGTGGCTGTGGCGAGCACGGGGGCTGGCAGGAGGTGGTGTAAGCAGGAGAGCAAGGTCCAGGGTGTCCAGGGCGCCGTGGTGTAGGTCTCTCTAGCGGGGCAGCGGGTTGGAAGTGGAGCGAACGAGAGCACGGCGGCCGCTCAGCGGTGTGGCCTGTGCCGCTGAAGCCCGCAGCACGCCGGCAGATTGCCACCCTCCCTCCCATTCCCCCTCACCTCCTCCCCCCTCGGACACCCCCGGCTGCCCCCCCCGTGCCGAAATGCCGCATCAAATCCCACCCAATCCGTGTAAGCAGCGGCGCACGCAAGCCGCCTCACTCAACCTTCTTTCTGAAGGAGCAGCCCTCCGTCAGCCGCGCCTTGCCGCCCGTCGGCTGGCACAGCACCGTTGAGCAGCCACCGCAGATCACAACCGTCTGCGCGTGGCTGAAGACAGTGGTACTGCGGCGGGGAGAGGGAAGGGGGGTGAGGGGGGGGGGGGGGGGTGAGCACGGCGATCGCGACGGCGAGTGCGGCGGGGCTCGGCGACGGCTGCGCGCTGCGCACGCGCCCATCATCCTCTGCGTGAGTCTGCGCCCGAGCGTCTCTGCGCTCGCGCCGCAGCATGGCCCCAACAGCGCGGAGGGCGAGGGGCGGCCTCACATGGAGAAGCAGCCCGGGCACTTGACGTCCATGAAGAAGGAGTTCGGAGACTGCACAAGCCGCTTGAGCTTGTGCCGCCGCTTCTCCAGCTCAGCCGGCGGGAACAGCAGGTCGACATCGCCCATAGAGATGTGCGCCCTGCGCGCAGGATCACGCCGCGCGCGTGGGCAGGAGAGGGTGGGAGTGGCCCGCGCGCGGTGAGCGCGTTTCGGGGGCGCGTTTCGGGGGCCTCACATGTCTGCTGTTGCTGGCTACACGACGCGGAGGCGACGTTGGTTCACAGCTGCCACGTTGATCACAGTTTGTAGACACGCCCAGGGATGGAGCTGGCGGCGCGGCAAACGAGCGACATTGCCCCTAAACAGGTGATGGCCAAGGAGGAGAAGGTGGCGGCGGCCGCGGCGGCGGCCAAGGCGAAGCAGGACGCCGCGGAGCAAAAAAGAGGGCCGAGGCAGAGGCCAAGGCGGCCAAGGCCAAGGGCGGCCCCGCAAAAGGGAAGGGGGGTGGTAAGGCTCAGATGAAGGTGAAGTCTGTAAAGTGACACCCGGGCAAGCGGGGTAAGGGGTAACAGGTGTACGCCGTGCAAAAAGCACTCTGTACCGAACGAATTTGATGGATCGAAAGGCGAAGAACAGTCACGACGCTCCACGGCGAGCTTTTTTTTCCGCGAGCTCTCGAGGTATACTCTACTAGAAGGTGGTGGCGAAGGCTCCTGGCTAGTTCCCGAGGTCGTCGGGTGTGACCCCTGCGTCCCCCGAGACCTAGCGCGGGTGGGTTGCAGTGAGCTCGCTGAAAGGAAGGGCGGTGTTAAGAAGCCGATCCCCGTTGTCCGCCCCACTCCTCCCCATCGGGACTTTTCAACGTGACGAGCACACGCCAAAGAGCAAAGTCGTTGGGCTTCTCCGCCCTGCCGACCTCTTCGCATTAACGTGAGTATGCGGCATGCTCCGCAGCTCAGCGAGGACGACGGTCTCTCTTTCGCTACGTGTTCGACGTCGTCGAACAACGCTTCGACCATGGCACTGTTCACAGCCTTGTTATTGAGAAGAAAATACCTCCTATGGCGCTGTGCGCTGGCCTGTGAGGGGTTGAGGTGCGAGCCCTGGAGGCCCTGGGGATGGGGGGGACTACCCTCCTTCACACACAGCGCGCGCGGACGGCGGTTCTGCGACTCCTGCTCCGCAGGACTTTTGTAAAGCATGCTGGGGGATCGCTGACATGAATCATGATTGATTGATGATCGATACATGATGTCGATGAACCCCGCTTCACGAGACCGCATTCACGCCCTGACTTTCGCTCCGAGGAGGATGGAGGCGCGCGCACGCCGGTAGAGCTCTCTCGCTCCGAGGAGGGTGTAGGAATTCATTCCATTTGATTAGCTTCCATGTCCGGGCAGCGCGCCTTTTCGCCCTTTTGGCCGAATCACCCACGAAACCTTCGAGCGCACGACCGATCGTCCCCCAGCGCGCAACGCTCGGCCAGCTGCATCGTTCGCGGAGCGCGCGCGGGCGCCGAGCAAGCGCCAAGGCGATCGAGATGGCGCCCTTTGGCCTCCCATTCGTCCTCGCGATTGCCCCGGCAGCGCTCGGCGCCCATGGATCGCGCGCCCTGTCAGAGTCAGAGGGCAGAGCCGCTTGGCTCCCATGCATGGACTTCTGCCACAAGGTGACTATGAGATGGGAGGCCATTTGTACGTTCAAGTCGAGAGCAGATAACAGATTAGGCCGCAACGGGCCGTGTCATGAGTGTCCAGAATGCACTTATGCGCCGCCTCCACCGCCACCGCCGCCGCCTCCTGGAGGCTGCTTCCTGTATTGCTATGTCAATGACGTCGCATGGCCAATGAAGTGCAATTGGATGGGCTGCAAGGAATGTGGTGAGTGCTACAGTCCACCATCACCGCCGCCACCGGCTATGCCGGATCCGCCCGGTCCGCCGCCAGGTCCGCCGCCATTGCCGCCACCGCTGCCGCCAAAGTCGCCACCACCGCTGCCCCCCTTCTCGCCTCCTTCTCCGCCATGTCTGGGCCGCTACATGATCATGGCTGATACGAAGGAGGGCGATCGTGGCTGCGGCGCCGCTAGTGTGCTCCTCGGCCACGCAGGCATGCTCATTAAGACAGACGTCTGCGGCTTTGACAACTGCAACCCTGGCCACTGCCTTGATGCTTGCGTGGAGATGTTTGGCGGTCGGGTCGTCTTCATGTCGTTCCACTTCAACACGTGGTGCAGCTGCTTTTCGGAGTGCGCGCTGACTCGGGCCGCGAGCTCGTTCGACAACTCGGCGATCGTCGGCCAGACGTGCAGCACACCGCCCAATCCGCCGCCTCTCCTGCCGCCACCCCCCTCGCCGCCCATGTCGCCTCCACCGCCCTCGCCCCCACCCCAGCCACCGTCTCCGCCTTCCAAGCCGCCAGGGGCGCCTCCGTCGCCGCCTCCGTCGCCGCCGCCGGCGGCGCCGCCGGGTACGCTCGTGCTGCACGGCGGCAGGAGCGAGCAGAAATGTGTGTACGAGCCCGACGCCACGACAACCGACGACGGCACGGCCATTGCAGCGCAGTGCTGTGACCCGTCCAGGAACGGTTGGTGCGTCCGCAAGACGAGCAGCAGCAACCAAGACTGCATCGCGGGACACTGGGGGTCGGACACGTTTGTCTACACCACGGCGTCCCAGGCGGCGGCGAAGTGCGCAGCGCTCGGCTACACGCTCTGCGACCAAAACTGCGTCAACACCGGCTGCGGCTACAACTCGATCTGGGTGTGGACGAGCCTGCAGTGCTTCTTCCCGCCGCCGCCACCGGCGATGCCGCCATCGCCCCCGCCGCTTGATTTCCCCTCCCAGGGCGTGCTCGTCCTGAACGGCGGCGCGTTGCAGGATGAGGGCGGCGTGCTCGCGGAGCCGCGGTGCGTGCACGACCCCTTCACCACCTCGATCAAGGACATCGCCATCGCGACGCAGTGCTGCGACGCATCTGGCGGGTGCGTCCGCACGCCGACGGGTGGAGACAGGGACTGCATCGGAGGCAAGCTGGGCACCACCTCCTTCAAGGTCATGACCTGGGCCGGGGCGAAGGAGGAGTGCGAGTCTCATGGGCTGGCGCTGTGCGACAAGAGCTGCAAGGGCGAAGGCTGCAACTACAATTATCTGTGGGTCTGGTCGCGCCTTCTGTGCCCCCTGCCGCCGCCGTCGCCACCTCCGCCGCCCCCGTCGCCGCCGAAGCCGCCACACATGCCGAGTACCTTCACTTTCAGAGATGTCACGGCCCGCGTCTTTAACGACCCCATCATTACGTCGAACGGGCACGTGAGCACCGTCTACCACCACTACGGGGCGCCCTACCTGATGGACTACGATAACGACGGGTGGATGGACATCTTTGCCACGAACCATGTCGACGACAGACCCTGCACCAAACACTGGGACCTCGCCCTCAACCGCCAGGGCTGGATGGAGCGGGATGGCGAGTGGCACGAGACCGGCCGGGTGCTCACGAGCCAAGCTCTCGACCAGGGTGCTCTGCAGTACGTTGAGTTCCCCGGGGAGCGGAACGGGACTGGCCCTGCGTTTGAACCGAGCAAATTCGACGCACACGGCGGTGGGCTCCTCGACCTCGACCGTGACGGCATCATCGACTTGTACGTGGCCCAGGGTGCAAACCGCGGGACAGACATGAGCTCCCACAGCGAGAACGCGGTGTTTTGGGGAGAGGTCGACCCCGTGGGCGGCATGCAGCGGCTGGTCGGCGGCCGTGGCGCGGCCAAGGCTGCGGGCATGGAGTGCTCCGGCTGCCGCGCGTACAACGTGGCCTTGCTTGACGTCGACCACGACGGCCTGCTCGACATAATGTCGCTCAACCGGGACAGGAACGACGACAACCTGGTCCCGTCGCGGCTGTGGCGAAACCTCGGTGGCCGGCAGTTCAGCTGGCTCCCCGAGGTGTCCATCTTTAGCTCGCGCGCGATGATGACCGACTTTGACCAGGACGGCTTGGCGCAGGAGCTGCTTGTGCCCAACTGGATCCCCCGTATCACGGCGGGGCAGGACTTGCTCGCAGCCTGGAAGTGGGACGCGGCGAATGGCAGCATGCTGGACCTCACCCCGGGGTTGGAGATGTTTCCCGCCAACTGGTGGGAGCGGGAGTGCTCATGGCCGAACCCTGACCCGTGCCACGATGAGCGAGAGCTAATCTCGGTCGTCACCGGCGATTTCAACGGCGACGGCCTCGTCGACTACGCGCTGCTCACCCTCTGGGGAGTCGACTTCTTGTACTCGCAGTCGGGAGAGACGCCCGCGCACAAGTCCGTCTCGGACACCGTCGAGCCCTTTATTCTCGTCGACGGCGAGCTCCTCGAGGGCTGTGCTATGGCTGTGGAACTGAAGACCGCGGACTACAATCTCGACGGCACGCAGGACCTGCTTATCCTCTGTCGGTTCAAGGCCCATTTCTTGACTCAAGATGAGAGCGGCGAGTGGGTCAGAATGCCAGGCGTGTGGGGCGACATCAACGATCCGTTGCGAATCTGGATGGACAACACCTGGCTCGACGAGTGCTGCGAGGACATGCCGAGCTGCTCCGTGCGCACGGACATCGCAGTCTTCCACCTCGATCCGATGTGCGCGTGGAACTACGCATTCGGTGGGTCGACCTACTTTGGCATCACCACATTTGACCTCAACAACGATGGCCACATGGATCTGCTGCCGTGCGGTTTGAAATGCCGCATCTACGAGAGCGTTGCGAACGGTAATTCATACATCGCGTTTAAGCTCAAGGGAGTCTCGAGCAACCAATACGGGATTGGGGCCACGGTAGTGCTCACGTGGAGCGCCTTTGCGGAGGCCCAGCCGCAGCAGCAGTTCCGGGAGCTCAACGGCGCGTCGAGCGGCACCGCCAGCCCATGGGGCAGCGCTGACCACCGCCTGATCTTCGGCCTCGGCGAGACGGGCGTGCCGCTTCGAGTCGAGGTGCGATGGCCCTCAAGCGTGGTGGACGTCTTTGACGACCCCGCGGTGCTCCTCTTGCGAACAAACACAATGGAGGACGCCGTCATTACTCTCTACGAGGGCAGCAGCAACGATGTCGCCAGTGGAGCCTTTGTGTAAGAGGCTCTTGCGAGACCGAGAGTACACTGGGCTACGCCGCAGAGCCCAGAGATTTGCCACACCAATTGCTGGAGCGAGCCACACGGTTCATGTTAGCTAGCGACCCGCGCTCCACATCAGCGGATGCCGCCGGCGCCGCGCGCATCGACATTCCATAAGTCGCCGCGCAATCGTTCGCGTTAACCGCGCCGTCTTTCGCGTTGGTGAGAGAGGGGTTTGTTTACTTTAACACGGCGCCCCGGCGAGGAGAATGTAGATTTTGATTCTGTGCTCGTGTCGCTTACTGTTACTGTGGGTCCTGCTGCGTACCTTTCTCTATAGAGGAGCTCCGCTCAGTCCTTTATGTTGACGGGCGCACTTTTTTGGCGCCGTACCGTGAGCGGCGAGACATTCAGCGCTAGATCTGCATGCGATGGCTTGTCAGGCTCGTCTGAGCGACTCAAGCCACTCTCGGTCGCGACTCACTTCAACGCTGGCGTAGGCAAGGATACCATTGATAGGAACCTGCGGCTTGCGCAGGACCACCGTCACCTCGTCCACGCGTGCGTTGCCCGACAGCACCTCGCGCGCGACCTCGACCGCCACCGTTTCTATCAGCGCCCTCGGCGGGCCCTCGACAACGGAGCGCACCTGGTCGTACACGCCGACGTAGCTCACAGTGTCGTCGATGTGGTCACTCGCGGCTGCGGCCTCGTGATCCGTCTGCATGACGATATCCACCTCGAACCGCTGACCCAGCTCGCGTTCGGCGGCGAGGACGCCGTGCCGCCCTCGGAAGACGAGGTCGCGCAGCACGATTCGATCGGCGTGGGCAAGCGAGTGCCGGTGTCGTGCGAGGGCCCGTAGGCCGTGCATGTGTGTGTGCCTGGGTTCCGGCTCCTAGCCAGATAGGGGGTCTGACGCATGACTCGCACCAAAACGCCCTACCTACCTACCTACCCCTAGGCCGCGCAGCGAAGCGAAAAAAGATGCAAATCGGGGGTACCTACCTGTTGCGCCCTCTGGGGCGGTCAAAGCCGGACCTACCTACCTATTGCATAGGGTGTCACCTGGCTAGGGCGACAGAACAAAAAAGAAGAAAGACGCCGACGTCGACGCTTTCGACACGTAGCGCACCACACACCTCTCCTTAAAATTCCTGTGTGGTGGCGGCGTGCCGTCCCATCCCTCCTTTGGCTCCTGAGCGTCTTTCTTTCTTTTTCGACACGAGTGCCGATGACAGAGGGCGACCCTCTGCTCCACCTCCTTCACACGGAGCCGTGCTTTGAGGCTGTGCTATCCCGTCGAGCGGACGAGCCGTTCGACGACGACCGCGAGCACCTGCTTGCCGCCGAGCTCCACTTCACGCTGCAGAGCCTGTACGTGCAGGCGCTAAGCAGTCTGCGCACACAGGTCGTAGGTTGCGGCCGCAGCCCGCCGCACAAGGAGAAATCGCCGGCGGCGGCGGCTTCGCCGGAGTGCACTCCCGGCGAGACCGCCGCACGCGTTGCGGCGATCAAGGAGATGCAGCGATCGCACGCCGCCACATGCGTTGCGCGGCTGGAGCTCACATCGCCACCGCCTCGCGTGCTGTCGGTGGCGGCCGCATACGCGCTCAGCGAGAAGGAGGCCGTCGCGCTGACTCTGCTCGTGTTGCAACGCAGCCACCGCACCGCTCTCTTCAGCGGCTGCCTCGGGTCGGACAGCTTCGAGGCCGACCAGGCGCTGCTTCCGGCGCTGCTCTGCGACGCCAGCTCCCTCGAACTCGCCGCCTTTTACGACGAGGAGCGGCCACACATCAAGGAGGGCATCATTCACGTCGACGAGGACTACTCCTCCCGCCAGACCGCCTCGCTCTCCTTCGAGGCGTGCGACGCCATCGTCAACGGTCTGCGCGCAGAGGCGAGGCCGGACTCGTACCGGCGGCCGTACCTCGTGCCCGGCAGTACGGGCGGCGTCGAGGGCGAGGCTGCGGCGGCCAGGACCCGAGCCGAGGCCAAGCGGGTGGCCGCGCTCTCCGCCGAGGGCAGGTCTCGCGCCTCGAGCCCTCAGCCGAGTGCTGCCCTACAGGTGAAGCTGGACCGGCTGCGCCTCAAGCTGAGCGGCACGAAGCTGCTGATGGCCCTCGACAGCCTCGAGGGCGCTCCGCCCGCCGAGCCGCAGCCGCTGCCCGGAGGGACCGCCGCGAGCGAGCAGCACGGGGCGGCGGCGGTGGCGGCGGCGGCGGCGGCGGCGGCGGCGGTGGCGACGGAAGCAGAAGCGAAAGCGGAAGCGGCGGCGGAAGCGGAAGCGGCTGAAGCGGCGGTGGCGGGAGACCAGGCCGTTGAGGAGGAGCGGGCCGATCCCGACGCGGACGCCGATCTCGCGGCGGTGCTTGCGCGAGCGGCGGCCGGCTCGCGGACGTTTGCGGCTGCAGAGGCGGAGGCGGTGGCCGACGGGGCAGCCGCCGCGGTGGCCGCTGCGGGGGACGAGCTTCGCGGCTACGATTCGGCGCTTGCCTCTCGGCGCGTCGGCAGCGCGGCTGCGGTGCCAGAGCTCTGACTTGGCCGCTGTCGTCGCGCGCCCTCTCAGGAGCTGGAGTACCTCGACGACCAGTTCGCCACGCTCGTGCAGCGCATCCAGGTGGCGGCGGAGGTGCAGAAGCGACGCGTCAAGCAGGCCGAGGTCGACGACACCCCCGCGCCGTGGGAGGGCAAGAGCAAGAAGGTCAATCTGGCCGAGCTGCAGGCGGGAGGCCGTCCGGCTCCTCTGCAGCCCTCCTCCTGCCGGACGCGTCGGTGCCTCCCGCCTAGGCGAAGCTGCGCATCAGCGAGGCGCGGATCAGCGCACGGCTCGCGTGCGCGGGCAAGCTCGGTGTGCCGCGACTCGAGGCGCTCTGCGCGAGCCTGCAGCTCGACGGCTTTGAGAAGAGTGTGCTGCTCATCACGTGCGGCTACACCATCTCGCCGGTCGTCAAGCAGTTGCTGGCTCAGACCTCTGGCTCGCACGCGTACGACAGCGACCGGCTCTCCGTCGGCCGCATCCTGCAGGTCTTCACGATGTCGTTCCACGAGCAGGCGCGCTCTACGGAGCGCGTGCTCATGGCCACCACACGCCTTCGCCACGCGCTCCTTGCCTCTTGCGCGCAGGTCTCGAAGCGGGTCTACTTTTACAAGAGCGCGAGGCTGGTGAAGAAGGGGCTGATCCGCCTGAACAACGACCGCTACCAAAGCCGCGACGACCTGACCGACATGCTGGTCAAGCTCGACAGGAGGGTGCTCGACTGCCTGGTCGGCCTCGAGGACGAGTCGACGGAGGTGGCCGAGAGCGCGAGCCTCTACTCGCCGAGCGTCGAGCTCGGCGACGTGGTGCTGCCCGAGGCGGTGCGCACCAAGTTGCTCCGGATGCTGACCAGCCACGGGCAGCTCAAGGCATACAATAAGCGGGTCGGCCTCTCCAAGGACATCCCGCAGCCCGACGGGCTCGTGCTGCTGCTCTGCGGGCCGAGTGGGAGCGGCAAGACGATGACGGCCAACGCGGTGGCGCGGCAGATGGGCAAGAAGGTGCTGCTGGTCAACTTTCCGGTGCTCGCCCAGTCAACCAGGACGGCGGCGTCGACGGCGCAGTCGATCTTCCGCGAGGCCGAGCTGCAGGGCGCAGTCGTCTTCTTCGACGAGTGCGAGTCGCTCTTCGCCAAGCGCAGCCACGGGGGCTCCTCAGAGATGACCGAGCTCCTCACCGAGATTGAGCGCTTCGACGGCGTGTGCTTCCTGGCCACCAACCGGCCGCAGGACTTGGACGAGGCGATGTTCCGCCGCATCCGCTGCGTCTTCGAGCTTCCCGCGCCAAATCACGTCCAGCGGCTGCAGATTTGGCGGCGGCTGACGCGGGCGGAGGGCATTGCTCTCGCCGACGGCGTCGAGCTCGCCGAGATCGCGGCCAAGTTCGAGATGACGGGCGGGTACATCCGGAACGCGGTGCTCGGGCGGGCTGTGGGGTCGGGTCCGTCGCACCGCTGCTTTTTGACGTCCTTTCTGACGTGCTGTAGGTGCTTGCCGCCCTCCTCGCTGCGATCAGCCGCGAGCCCAGGCATCCCGCGATCACGCAGGACGACCTTATTACT